GCCGTCTTTGGTTGATTTATACCGCGAACTTCTTCAAGAACCCGAATGCTTCCCCAATTTGTCAAAAATTATTAAGATTGCCCTTACTCTCCCTTTGACATCAGCATCTGCTGAGAGATCATTTTCCAAGCTGAAAATAATCAAAAATCGCCTGAGGTCGACGATGAGGCAAGATCGACTAGAATCGCTGATGCTCATGTCTGTGGAATGGGACATTTGTCGGGGCTTCGACACCGAAGGACTCGTTGAACGATTTACCGACGCAGCTCCCCGAAGATGGAACTTGTACTAAATATGTATTATAACATTAAATTCTTCATTTCGTTCTTGGTTTTATTAAAAATACATTTGATTCATATATTGTATGGAAATCAATTATGTTCCGATCTACTAAAAAAGTGATTTATTAAAACCTTTATATTTCTCTTAAAGTGCCTCCAAAACGCAGGAAATGCGGTTTTAGACACCCAAAATTCAAAATTTTCTCGGGGGGGGGCATACCCGCGAACCGCCCTAGTAGGCTCGTGCCTTTGGCACTCGAATGATTTGTCCCCCCAAAAATAAATCCTGCCGGCGCCACCGCTTTCCACTGATTTATATTATAATTTATACACAACTGCAAGTCGATGTAAACTCAATATTTTACTAGGAGCCTAATTTCAAATACACAGGTAAAAATCTCACAACTTGTCAACAACAGATGTGACATGTGTTCGCAACAGGCTTGTAGCAAGTTACATATATATTTCTAAACCATCTCGGTATAGACAATAGATATTACAACTACAAATTTTTACATGATGAATATCCACAGTTATCTATAATTAATATACTGATTTGTCATTGTCGAGGCCATTGCTGTGGCCAAAATATAAAGGCGTGCATTTCAGTTAGCAACGTCAAAATGTGATATTATAACTCTCCCGTATGAAAATAGAACTGTTACTTCATGTACACAGTAATTATACACTGTTAAACTTTGTTCTGCATATTCTTTTCTATAGATTTTTACACGATTCTAACCTACAACAACACCAGCTTACCTAGGTTAAGTTGTTGTCCTCATACCTGTATCATACTGCCATCATTGTTATGAAATGGCAAAGTACTTAACATTACAAACAACTTGCGAATTTGACCAACACTCAAATTATCCAAATAATCCAGTATGCCCTAAGAACGAATTTAAGAACACGAGTTAGTTCTGAAATGTAGATAATGGTTTGGTTTTGTGACAAACACGTTTATTGATGTGGGAAAGCCTTCGATCCCCAAATCATCATCAATATACTGTACAAATTATATTGCCCTACAAGTTGTAACAAACCTGCAGCAGACTTGTAGCAATGCTGTTGCAATAACTTATCAACATGATGTGTTCGCACTGCTTGTTCCAAACTTGTTGACAAGTTGTCAACGGCTTGTTGGCATTAACTTGCTACAAGGTTGTTGAGTTCAACAGACTTGTTACAAGTTGTTCCAACAACTTGTTATCGTCCTGCAATTCAACAATTTGTCAACAAGTTGCGAGTGACAACCTTGTAGCAACTTGATAAAATAACAACATTGTTACAACCTGTGAGATTTTTATGTGCGTAGGGATCGAAAGCTTTACCATATACAATACTTGTGGTGTTTCGTACAAACAGAAAATAATCTAAACTGGACCAGTGTAGCTGCGTAGGTTCTCCCTCATTGCTTCAGCGAGACTACCGCAGGAAAGCGAAGCATCCTGAGAGAACCAGCGATATTTGCATGGTAACATTCTTTTCGCATGTGACCGAGGTGAAATTATAATCAGGCAAATGCATATTGCAGGAATCGCTTAAATGAATCACATCTAGTATTGTCACTTGTCAGAGTAAGAAGCTGCAGTGCTTACTGGACCAGTGTTTACTACAGGATAAAACCAGAATCCTTTACTGGCTAATGAGTTTCAGCAAATATAAAACTAATGTTATTCTGAAAAAGTATATGCATATTAACAACACACCTATTTTAAAAACTGTATATATCTTCTGCTAAATATTCTGCTGAAGTGAATCCAAATAGATTCGAAATATACAGTTTTTAACTAGATAGATGTGTTGTTAAAATGCATACTTTTTTCGGAACATTAGTTTTATTAAAACCAGCTAGAGTATCCCCCCCACACAAAAAACTGCAGTGTTTGGTCCAGTCAAGGTGAAAACACTCCTCTGATTAATATTTTTTTCCAATTCAAGGACTTCCCAGGATTTTGAAGGCCTGTGGACACCCTGTCTTACTCTCCTGATACGCATGATCCTTCAAAGACACATCATTGAATTATCTGTCTAACACATCACTAGTCTCAAATTATTATTAGGGTTGAGCGATATTAAAAAAATCATCTCACGATTATTGTGGAGGAAATTATCACGATATTCGATAATATCGCGATAAATGCAATAAAAACAATGAGAAGTAAAAACAACAAATTAAAATAATATGAAGGCTTTTTTCTAGTCTAATATTTACTGTTCATAAATCTGAACTGTCTGTGCAGTGTCTACTGTGTCTCCGTGACACAGAATAGATACTGGACCAGAAGTATCACTCAGACAATATTTTGTCCGAAATTTTACGAGTGCTGACGTGAAAATACGCCATCACATGACGCCATCCTGGAGTGCACACGGAAGTTTTTCATAGGACAAACATAGGTACAAAGTGCCGTGTGCATTCCCGGATGCCAGGGTGCATTCTGTGTAAAGTCTACGCCGAAGATACGCCAATATTAACTATAGATACTATTGTAATTTGCCAAACTCACGCCGAAGATCTTCGGCATAGGCTACTTAAAATGCACCCTGGCCCGGATGGCGTCATAGTGCGTAAAAATTTTGTACGTTTTCCTTCAGCCAAAATACATAGGAGTGTCCCTTCTGGTCTGGTATCTATTCTGTGACTGTGAAGAGCAACTTAGCATGGGCACAGACTGCCACAGAGTAAACACATAGTCAGGTCTCACTTCTGCGGGAAAACCATAAGGTAGTTTTTACCGCAGACCTGGCAGCCATGTTCTTAGCAAGTGCCCTAAAGAGAGGCTGGAGGCATTCACCCCCCAGAATATTAAAGTTCAATATGTTTTCAGGGGGGTGACGGCCTCTCTTTAAGGCACTTGCTAAGAACATGGCAGACTGCAAAAATCCCTTATGCTAAATTAAGACCACGCCCTTTGTCCGACTCCACACACCCCCAACGTTAAAACTGCCTGGCTGCGACGTGAAGGATATACCACAACCTGAAAAATTAAACTAGGTACCACTACCTGAAGGTCTGCTTATATTTTTCATGTAGAATTAAAATAAATTTAAAAACTATTTATATATCAATGATAAATAAAAAACGAACCAGAAGAATCTAGTTTCTGTGTATTGGAATTTCTTTTCCGTGACTTCAACATGATAATCAATCATTTACAATAACAAAAAATATCATAACACACAACCTTGAACAAAATAAACGCAACATATAATAAAATCAACAGCAATCTGTCGCCATCTTGTTTTCAATTTCCCGCCAAATTCGTCGGAACCATCGTAATCAGTCGACCGATGTTCGGAAATAATTATTTTTGAATTTTATATTTTTGACATTTTTGTACTTTGTTGTTTTTCACAGGAAACAATCAGTAATTCGACTACGATAGCATCGAAGATACCCTTTTAATTTTGTTTATTTCAGCAAATGTACTTGCAAAACACACTGGTAAGTGAAAATATATTTTATTTTTATGCTCTAAATGCGTTCTTTTTTCAATTAGAACGAATTCTGCCGTTCTCTATTGTATGGCTTTGTTCCGGTGCCTTCGTTAATTTGTCCCTTGGGAGTTCGGCTAAAATGTTTTATTCCCAAAGGACAAACGGCCACGTTCTAATCGCCATTAAGAATTCTTTACAACAATAGAGTGTAAACAATTAGAACGATAATGAGAATGTGGGGGAACGCTGTTTAATTTTCTTCCTTTATTTTGAAATGTTTAGCGGTTGAATTCGTGCTGAAATATTATACACACACACAGTTGGTGTCAAAACCGTGGAAAATTTGTCTAGAAGAAAACAGTATCTGGATTATTAAAAGACTTGTAAAAATCAATATACAACCTTGATTTTTATTAGGTAAATTTTAAACATTGTATCTTTTTTGTATCAAGTTTAATTCAGATTCTGTATGACAAAAGTCGAATACCATGGGTACGGTTGTAGATTTTTCCTATTTTGGGGATTCCCATAAATTTTTCACTCATGCCATAGTTAATTCTAGTATCCCATTACGAATGTACATCGTGTGATTGAGATAGAAATATAAAGCCCTGGGGCTGGAAAGACACGATTATGTATTACTATATACCCACTTCTCTCAAAGCCCCCATACGTTTTCACATAATATGTCATTTTAATACAATATTGTACTATAAACCCAAACATACACATCTTTATTTATGAAAATTTCAGAATATTTTTCTTTATTCAGAAATCCGAGCATGCAGATGGTGCATTTAAGAAACATAATAAGGCAACAGAGCCCAGCTGGAACAAGACGAGTGGAAAATGTGGATTTGGATGAAAGGATCCGCCGGATACGAGAAGCGAACAGGGAACGAGAAAGAAGATTTGAAGAAATTGAACAGGATAAGAAGTTGGCTTCGGATCCAGCATTGATGGAGAATAAATACGAGCAAGACAAAATGAAAGAATCGCTGAAAAGTAATGTCCAAACTGACGTCAAGAGTAATCAGCTGAAAACCATGAAAGGCATACAACCTACTGCCACAAAGAAGATAGCAAAAGGGCGTGGACAAAAACTCAGAGAGTTGAGCAACCATCCTTTAAAAGCAGAACGTTTTAAGTCAAGAACAAAAGATCAGAATGAGAGCCTTGAGGAATATTTGCCCGAGAAGGTAACACTAATAAATAACTGCCGTTCAAGTATTCGGGAGAGAATTAAAACCAAGAATAAGGATTGTACAGCAACAGTGCCTATGGTCGAAAATGAAAACACACAAGAGAGTGATGTTTCTAAGGTTGATGATAAATTAGATTGTACTCCTCAAGGCCAACAAAATGAGATCCCTGAGGATGAAATTTTATTGCATGAAAATAAAAACAGTAGTCAAACTACACAAGAGTCTAATGACACACAACAATCAGATGACATGAAAGAAGAAACTAAGGCAGTAAGTCACAGAGAAAACGTTTCACCCTGTGAAAAAAATCAACAAAACAGTACTGAGACAGATCAATTTTTAGATAATACTGAACAAGAAACTAGCGCTTCTAACAGACAGTTGGCTGAAGAACCTACTACACAGAAAAACAAACCTAAAATTAGAGTAACTTTAAAGAAAACGGCATCAAGCAGTAGTTTTGACGAGTCCATGGCTATGCTGAGCCCGCTAGATTTGCCACAAAACTGGGGGGATATAGACTTTAGTGATGATGAACTACCACCTGTGTCGATCTGGAAGAATTCCTAATTACAATTGTGAATTAAATTAGTTGTATATAAGTAGTTGCATGGGATTTCCATTCGCAGTATTTTGCAAAACGTCCCACGTATGTTTTTATGTGTCTGGGCTTCAGGGGAAATATATTCTTAAAAAGAAATTCAATGTAAATATTTACCAAATTTCTAAATTATTTGTAGTCGGTAGTTTGCCTATATAATTAATTGGCTAGGCCATGATCAATTTTAAGTTAATTTTTATTATTAATAATTTTAAATACTCAAAATGGTGTAGATATAGTAGTATTTTGTAATGTTTATAATCATTAATACTGTAAAAGAAAATGGTATGTGATTGTAGTGAAAAGTTCAGTCTGTCTTTGGCCTATAGCCCTATATTAATTAATCATTTCAATACTTTAATCATCAAGTGTGCATATCTACACTACATCTATAATACTTAATTCTACTACATGGCAAAGTGTTTCAGTTTTACAAAGCTCCAACAGACTTGAGTTTCGGCACAAGTTTTCCACTACTTTGAAGTTCCGCTGTCTCTGAACCACCGCCGATAAATTCTCCACCAATGAAAACTCGTGGAACCTGGAGATAAAGACAGATACTGATATATAAGACACTCATCAAAGCTTACCGATTTTATCAAGTAATCAAGATATCTTCTAACATTTTGGGGTATGCACTCCTATGTAAAATTGGATAATTCCAGTAAAAGTTACTATCATAGCCCCTTCGTCACTGGATGACCTCAAAGGGATTTTTGGTAATTTACACATAAAATGTTTGCAATACCACAGGGTATTAAACATTTTTATTATTGAAGCCTGTGTTATGTCTCCAATCAAAATTCCATGGTTACCTCACGGGTGTTTATTAGAACAATTCTCAACTGTACTTGTTCGGGTTGGGCATTTGCTTTCTGCAGGTTGAGGGTGGTGCATTATTTGGACCCTTACTGGGGCATTTGCAGCATTTTTTAGCCAAAATGACAAAAGCGACCAATGGCCGGGGAATTGAGACATTTATATATTTGATAGATATAAAAGTTACAAATAATATTACATAATTGATATATTAACTAAGAACAATCATCAAAACTTGGTTGACAGTAAAATAATAAATTCTTACAGATCTTGCCCCAGTAATGCCAAGCAATATATCTTGAATTTCGCTTCCGTCGTCTCTGGTATCTAACTCGATAACCAAGAAGTTCTTCAAGCCTGCATCTGTAAAAGCTTGTTTCGCTTTCTTGCAGAAGGGACAGTACGATTTGGAGAATATCACAACTTTATCAGACTTTATTTGTGCTTCGACCCAATCTTTCTTGCTCATTTTGACAGGATGCGATGTTTAAAACAGATAAAAACCACGAAACGGTCCAAAACTTGATGCTTTCGCTCAGTTTCTTTGCTGAAGATATATATAGCACATGCAGTGCATCCAAGCGCAAATTTATATATTCTGCATAAATTTAGTTATATAACTTATGACGTCATTGGTTATGACGTAGCGTGACGTAAGCTCAAAGCTGAGAGACCTTGGATTGCCTTCCTTTGCAAAAAATTAAAAGAAAACTATTGATTGTTTTTTCTTCAGAAAACATATTTCTTGGCGTCTATTCGTGGCCTTAGATTCATATAAAACAATATATTTTTGCTCACTTACTGACATTTTTGCTCGTAATTTTTACCCCATGACACCTGAAGGGGCCCCTGAGAAAACATCTCAACTTATAGCTGACAAATGATGAAACAGCAATTTTGGAACTGATTCCTTACAATATATCTTACTAACAGTTGACAATTTTCTTGAAAAAACCTTCAAAGTTCGCAACCAAGACTCAATCACTGGCAGAAACGATAGAACATTGCTCGTAGTTTTATATAAAAGGCTAGTTTTCCCGATCAGATATCTATATGATCTTGAATGCCATTGCGTGATTCTCTGGGATGACCATGGAAAAATTAAAATCCTTCATTTCCTTGGATCTTCCTGAAATTTCCTGAAAGAGCGAGCTTGATAAAACTCGAAAGTCATGGAAACGAATACAAACAATGATGCTTGTGATGTTACTCTGAGTGTATTTCCACACCGGGCAAGCTTGAAAAATATGCCTGTCAACGGTGTGAATCGAACCTACGACCTTTGGAATACTAGCCCATCTAAAATCATGAATACAAACAATGTTTGCAAATAATCATCTTTCAGAAATAAAAATTCTTTTCAAAACGAGTATGTCGCCAAGGAATATTAGGGATTTAATAACAAACGCAAACTATGCGAATTTTAAAACTATTCAACGATATATAATGTACAAGCAGTTATGGGTAAAACAAGCATACAATGGGTTTAGTAAAGGTTTTCATCCTTGCCATAATTTCCACGCTGTTGCAAGGGAGAACTGTCGAAAAGAAAAAATCTGCAAACGCGACCAGCACGCATTCATTATTGGTATGTAGTTTCTTTACTAAATATTTATGCTGCATAGCCCTTATTAGTTCTGAGGGTTTAGCAAAGCCTATCCAATAATTTTGCAGAGTACCTGGCGAAAACCAGAGGGGTTTGGTAGAGTCAAACGGGAAGCACTCTTCTCACATGAGACTGAAGTGAAATTATATGATCAGACAACTGCTTATTGCAGAAATCTGACTCCTGTCAGAGATGAAAGACATATGAACTGACCACTGTGTCAACAATTCTTTAACTCTTTCATCCAGAACTCGATATGGGATCGTTTTGACTGCCGTATAAACAGCGACTGTCCCAAGTCAAAATATTGCCTGAGCTGGAAATGTGTGTTACGCCAGAAGGGATTCTGTTCAAACGACAGCGATTGTTCAGCGCGAGAATGGTGTAATATCAAGCATGTCTGTGTCCAAAAGTCATGGTGTGATGCGAACTCGGAATGTGGCCTGGCGAAATGTTGCGCCAAGATTGATCCTTTAGCCCAAGGCAGATGTCTGCCATTGATCAAACCTAGACAGTTTTGTTTGATTGAGGTCAGTATATATACAGGTTTCTCAAGAGCGATCGCCTCATTTTCAACATACTTTCAGGTGATGCTTGTGATGTTACTCTGAGTGTATATCCACTCCGATCACCTACTCTGAGTGTATATCCACACAAATCATTTCAATTCAAGGTGATAAAGTGAACTCGAAACAAGCGGTACCTCCATGCAACTATAAGCCTGACTTACAACTGTCTATGTCTTTTATGTGCTGCATACAAATCAGTGATTGCATATATTTTTCTCTACAGACCGTGCTGTGTCCGTGTGTAAAAGGATACTACTGCAAACCGTTTTCAAAAGGGCTTGGCCGCTGTACTAAAGACCAAGATATCAAAATATGATCACACGATTTATGAACTAAATGAGCAAAATGTACCAAACAAAGTATGAATGTCACGGTATAAAGCAAATGCACTAAGATTTCAAAATATAATCTTAAGTTTCATGGATCTATATATTATGTACAATATAACAATAATCATACGTTACGCTTTCGTCCTACACATTTATTTTTTCTTCTTTCCCTTCTTCCCGCTTTTTTTACCCTTGCCGCCTTTCTTTCCTTTTTTCTTGTCTCCTTCTTCATCCCCCATCGCCGCCTTCAGTCGCTTCTTGCCCAGCGGTGTCTTCGTGTACCATGTCTATAGATTGAAAAAAAAAGTAAACTTTAGTTCTTTCAATTTTAAATTGTTTTTAAAGGTCAAATAAGGGCTGGTGTAGTATAACTACAGGAGGAAACCTAAACTAAACTAACTTTATTTATACTGGATAGCTCCAGTAAAAGTCATCTCTTATTGATCTAGTGTTACTACAGGAGGAAACCCAAACTAAACTAACATTATTTATACTGGATAGCTCTATCAGTTCTAAACTGTTCTTCCTAGAGGTCCAGTAAGGATCATCTCTTATTGATCTAGTGTTACTACAGGAGGAAACCTAAACTAAACTAACTTTATTTATACTGAATAACTCTATGAGTTCTAAACTGTTCTCCCTAGAGGTCCAGTAAGGACAATCTCTTATTGATCCAGTTTTACTACAGGAGGAAACCTACACTAAAAACCATTTTGATCTACCTTGAAAGATTCTTCTTCTTCCTTGTAAATTGGATCAATTTTTGCGAGTGGAGGAATGAACTCCGATGCCATTAATGGCTTCTTTATCAACTGAGCAAAATAAAAACAATTACGATCATTTTGAACAAACGACATAAAGTGAGATAAACTAGACTAGAATACAAAGATAGAATTCAAGAATTCAAATATTTAAATATCAGAAACAATATTCCATTTCCTCGCTTTACCTGTTGTTTTCTGCGTTCTGAGAGAATTTGGTTGATGACCTCAATGATATGACCTGGAGTGTACCCATCGCTGACTTTTGCCAATGAGCTAACATCAAGATCGTCCGTGATAACACCTTTTTGTTTTAAAATCAACTCTCGCCATAAACCTAGATTATACAAAGTAACTTTTCGTCATAAGCACTATCACTATATCGCGCAGCAGATAGAGCTAAATCTTTTCAATTGCTATATCTTTTCATAATGTTATACACTTACAGTAACGCGAAGCATAATCTGGTCGAGGAATAAGCACAACTTTCTGATAAGCAGAACAGAACGGCTTCACTTCAGCATTTGAGAAAGTCAGTCAAGAAAAATAACGTTGAAATGAAATAAACTCTACAACTTCAACTTTTACGTTTACTACTGTGCTACCTCTACAACACGAGTAATCTACTTTACAATATACAAAGGATATCAAAAGGCGACTTAGAAATCCCAACAATCATAACTCTGTCCTCCGGTTTCAGAGTTTTTAAAATCTTTGGTAGGTCTTTCTTCAGCCGTTTCGGATCAGTCTGCAAAATGACAAGATTAATGGAAAATAGGTTCATTTATTTTAAGTGGGTGATGATGGCACAATAGGAAGTAGCACATGTGCCATTAAATACCCCCAGGTTTCCCCCAGTATCATCCGATTTCATGCAATAACACTTGAACAATAAGTAACGACCCATACTAAGCATAAGTTGGTAGAACAGTTTAGAAGTGACAAAGCTATCCAGTAGTTTAGTTTAGGTTTCCTCCTGTAGCAACAAAATAGAGCTATCCAGTCTAAATAAAGTTAGGTTGATCTAAGTTACTTTCCTTCCGTAACAAAACTGGACAAACAACAAATGGACGTTATACTACATTTCTTAAGCCCCGTTTACACTATGCTCAATTTTTAGTACAGCACGGATAAAATTGGTACCCGTACCACTTTTTTGGTTCTTCAACTACCTAAATAGGTAGTCCAAGAACCAAAGTGGTACGGTACCAAAAATTGAGCGTAGTGTAAACGGGGCTCAAAATATAGGTATTCCAAGAACCAAAAAAGTGGTACGGGTACCAATTTTATCCGTGCCGTACCAAAAATTGAGCGTAGTGTAAACGGGGCTTAAGGCGAACAGTACTAACTTTATCAGTCTTTGGTACTTTCTTCATAAACGTTTTCTCTGCATCGCCAATGTACACGACAGAAGGTTGCATTTGTCTGGCAACCTGGGAATAAAATTCAGTATAGTAAGTTAGTTAGTTCATTATTATAAATATTGTCCACCCTGCACTGACGTACCTTAAACACCATATGTAACATCATATTCAGACCCGCTTTTCCAGGATATTTGCCGACGATATTAGACGCGGTGAGATCAAAGAGATTCGCCCCAGACTCCGTGCAGATGCAGTTCACCAACGTCTTCTTCCCCACACCACGTGGTCCGGCTATCAGCACAGACTTGATGAACGGAGCTTTCTCGTGGATTGCCTGAGAACCTTGACGGTTAGGAAAGTTAATAGTTAAGATAAACGACATTTCATAACGAGAAGCCTGTCTACTATAATTTAAATTTGAACTAGCCGCGCGCAAGCGCAAGTCGCCCCCCTTGGCGTGTAAAATCGTCTGGCGTTAGCAGAGTAAAATAATCTGGAGTTATTTATTACCTAAAGGTAGGACACAGAACTCTGTGATGACACGGCGGACGTCAGAAAGCGATGGCATTGGTTCAATGTTTGCTTGACGTAATGTTGAGCCAAGATAACTGTAAATGAAGAAACATCGTTACTTAGTTGTTGTGCGGTAACGCTCACTGAAACCCACCTACAATATACGTTTTGTGTGGATAAAACTCGATATCATTAAAGGACTCGATAAGTTAAAGGTACCTGAACTCGCCCAAGAATTCTGAAAGCTGTATTTTCGGATGACGAACCAAGATCCCCTCATCAACAAGCTCTTCATACAAAGACTCGATAGTTCTACAAAAGCGAAAC